ATGCCAGGTGGAGTGAGGGGGTCTCTAAGAGCTCTGTGCTCCCATTTGTACCCCAAGACTGCAAAAGGTGTTCTCAAAAGTGGACAGTAGGGAGAAGATTAGAAGTCATTCCTTGCCTCAAGAAACTTACGGTTATTAGACTGATATTTAGTGATTAATACTAAGAAGAAAAACTCAATAACAACATGTCACGTGGCTGCTGATTTAATATTTATAAATCATTGATTTAAAATCTGTTTATTTCCCTTTGTTTTCTGCAGTGGTTGGAGAAAAGGAAAAGGCAAATAATGCTGTAAATGTTCGAACAAGAGACAACAAAATTCATGGAGAGATTTCCGTAGCTTCTGCCATGGACAGACTGAAGAATCTCAAGAAATCACGTACACTAAATGCTGAGGAAGAATTCTGACATCCTTTCCTTGTACTCACTTCTCTTTAACCTTGCTTTGACCCCCAACAGTGCATTTTTCTTCATTAACACTAGTACTTCTGAGAACTTTGGACCACTGTGGGGTCCACCGATGGGCACAGTGAGAAAGGAGACAGTGTGGGAATAGCATAAAAGTTAATTCACTAATGTGTCTGCGGACAACTTTTAATTTCCCAGATGTCCTGAGAGACTTAAATGGTAAAATGCTATTCATCAAAAGGGGGAATACTAGGAAATGAGCATTATGAGATATTCTTGTTAAAAGCTGTGATTTTCAAAAGAGGTTTCAAACAAAAGTCTACAAAGCTCTTTGAATATGGGGGAAATTTATTTTCTAATAGCATTATGTCTCCGATATTTGGTTTTTTTTTTAACTTAAGTTTTTCTGAAGTTCACACTGGAAATTTACCTCCAAAATCGGAGCCATTAATTTGTTTTAACTAACCAACAACCACAAAATAAGAAGCTAGTACTAAATCCTGGATTACTGACAAAGGATCCGAACTCAGAGATTTCAGTTGTGCAGTCTGCTGTAGTATCCACTGTAGTTTAAGAGTTGCCTCTTAATGCTTCTGACAGTTGAACCTGTTTATCTCTAGGAAAGATAAACTCAAATAAAATGCGCTACATAGCACTTCCAGTGTTTCAGCTATGAGTTTATACTATAATTATCTGCTCCCCTAAAGTTTAATTTTTTCATGGGATGACAGTCCACTGATTTATAGACACAAGTGGATGTCTGATTTTAACTGAAAGGAATACCTTACTGCTCAGAATCGAATTAAAGTGGCTTTATGCCAACAGAATTTAGCTACCAATCAAGCAGTATTGTTCGAGCATTTATTTGGGTATGTGCTGTGGATTCAAAATAAATTTAAGACATGCTCTCTCTTCCCTATGCATGTATCATTTAGTTAGCTTCCTGAAGAGCTGGTAAGACTGCAGCTGACCCTTGAACAACAGGGGTTTGAGCTGCACAGGCTCAAACATCCACTTACATATGGATGTTTTTCAATAGTAAGTAACCCGGGTACCACAGGATCCTACCCGTGGTTGGCTGAATCTAAGGAGGTAGGACCACCAGTATGGGAAGAACCGGAGGAGGGCCCAGTGTAAGTTATATGTGGATTCTCCACTGCACCCCTAAGCCCCAGGTTGTTTAAGGGTCAGTGTGCTACATATGAGACCCATATAATGCTGGAAGGTGCAAATCGTGCCTTACAATTTTTTAAGCTAACGTTTATTGAGGCCAAGTACTATTTGATGTTTTTTTTTTATTCACCACACATACTAGTGAGGGAGTGGGGTGATCAGAGACTCCCACACCTGAAATGATTCTGTAGCGGGTGAGTGGGAAGAGGGAATCACGTCAACAGCCCACGACAAAGTGTGGGTCCCCAGGAGAGCGAGGGGAGAGGCCGGGGAGCTGTGCACTCTCCAGCTTGGCCTTCCCTGTGGAGGGACTATTTCCGCCCTTCTTAATCCAGGCTCCAGTCCCAGGATCTGCAGGCGGTGGGTGGGGTTGGGGGGTATCTAAGACCTGATCATTATAGTGCACGTGCAGCCTCTCCCAGTCCCAGGAATTTCCTTGGGAGTAACACGCATCTTTAAGGAGGCAGGATGTGCAGAGATGCTCACTGGGCACTGACGGGCTTGTGGGGAGTGGAGCCCGTTGTGTGTCACACAACGGGGTGGGCTGATAACAAGGGTTGGTAAAAGAATTTACCAGAGGTTAAATCTAAGAATAGAAAGGAGTTTATTGGGGTACACAGACAACAGCGGACCACACAGGCGAGGGGTGCCTGTGTAAGCACCGAAGGCCAGTTATTGGGGTTTTTTATAAGCTCAGGTCACAAGGTGCCTGATTGGCTTGTGCGCAAGTCTCTGGTTGCAGGTGAGGTAAAAGGTTTAGGGTCTGTGAAAGGCAGTGGGGGGGGGGGTGACTGATAAGGTGGGCTGAACCAAGCCAGCTTGAGCATTACCCAGGGCTATTAGTTTGTTAGGGGAGACACACCCAGTAGAAAATGCACTTTAGTCTGTTGAGGCATCACAGGCAGACAATGACAGCACAAAAATGGGGGTCGACATCAGTGGGCCCAACAGGGCCCTTGGGGCCACTTGGCACACCTGACAGTCCTTTTTAGTATGAAATTAACCAATTTCTCAGTCTAGTGCCGAGCAGCATACACATCCAGGCACATGTAAATAAGGGCCAACTTCCCAAATTTGCCCGCCTTTGCTTGCAGACGCTTCTGGTGTGAGGTTTGTTCCCAGGTGACCTTCCCAGTCTTCACCTACGGGAGGAAAGGGCTCTGTCCCACTACTTCCTTCCAAACAAACTCTTCTCCATCAAACTCTTCCCTGTAAGAGTCCAAGGGCGCCAGTGTCCCCGGAGGACCGAGCAGCCTCCCGGCATCGCGTCGCCTCCGGGGAGCGTGGGGACGAAGACCCACGTGGGGCATAGAACCAGGAGCA